AGTTGAAATATGATATTAAAAACGGAGTTCAAAACAGAAAATGACACAAAAATTCTAGTAGGGGCAAAATAGGTTGGGCGGCCCCGCAACGCAACTCTCCAGGCATTGGCCCTATTCTGCCTAGTTTTGTGCAAGCGGCGCTTGGGCACTGGGCGCCATGTTTTGCTTAGTTTTGTTTCCAAAGTATTCTTCAAGTCCAATATAAATTTCTACTCTCACTAGGCTTACAAATTGAACTTCAATTAAAATTTGTCAAGTAAATTTAAATAAGATTCAACAATAGAATTTTAATTAATGTGTACTTTAATTAGAACTCCCAATTATTTTCAACAAAGAATTCGGGTCACACCCAAAATCTAATAATTTTCACACTGACACGAATTCCAATGCAACGAACAAAACTTTAAAAAAACTTCACTTGAAAACAAATTCCACTGCAAAGAATAATCTTGAACTCTTCAATGAAAAAAAAACACACTAATTTCTCCATCAAAAAATTATAACTGGAAATATTCTCCACATCTGCTACTCCAACTATGGGTAAAAGTAATTTAATAACCAACAAATAAGTCTGAAACAAACCCTGTAACAGAATCACAATTAAATGTAACAAAAGAAATATTTTGGCTGGAATAAACACCCTTAATCGCATTCAGCAAAATCAGCAAAATCGTACCTATGTGGAATCTTATGACAAAAAATAGGTCTATTTCTAACAGTTAAATACGATGACACTGTCGATGATAATGACAAGACAGATTTATCCATATCTTCAAAATTAACTAAGATGTATTCTTTAAAAAAAAAAATCCCAAATTAGATTCCAACGATACAAAAGCCAACTCTAAATTCACCCGAGTTCTTAAAATATGATGATTACTCGAACATTCTGTATCACACTGCAAGATATATAAATGAGATTTTCTATATCACATCAGCACAATACGAGCTCTTTTGATAAGTTTTAGAACTCTACTTTCAATAGTGTACACATACCATTTTGAATCAAAAGTATTTAAGGAGATAAGATTTTTCTTCAAATCTAGAGCGTGTCTCACTTAATCAAGTGTTCCAACTGTCCCATCAAACATCTTTATTCTGACCCGACCAATACCAGCTATCCAACAATGTGTGTTATTATCGATCATCACAACACCTTTTGTAACTTCTTCATATGTTGAAAACAATTCCTTACTGGGTGACATATGAAAAACGCCAGTTGTATCCAAAATTTAAGTCTCATCAGGTTCGGAGTTGTAGTCAGATATAAGTAGAAGCTCTCCATCACTACTAGATTTTTCTGCAATACTTGTTTCCCCTGAAGTTTCTGATTGTTGATTTGCAATTAACTTTGATTTATTCTGCAACTTACAATAATCGTTTACGAAGTGCCATTTTTTCTTGCAATAATTACAAAATTTGAAGCTAGATTTCGATTTGCCAAACGAACAACTATCATGCACAATGAGACCATCTCCAAGTTGTGGGCATCTTGTCAAATTCCAATAACGCATCGTTCAAATCCATCTGAACAAATACTGCTCGTATCTTTACCTGCCACCAAAAAAAATCTTGTATTGCAATCTAATAGCGAAATATCATACTTTATTGTTACCATCACGAAAGATCTTGGACTTTCCAAAAATTTCAACATCAAAATCTTTGATACCACTTGTTAGGAAAAATTGGAATGATCTAATACTAGTTTGTTGTAAAAAGATAGGAAATTAAAGCCACAATATGAAGTAATTGACCAAAAGAACACAAGAAGAATATAATTTACAGAGAATAGAGTTTTTATTATAATATGGAGAATGAATACAAAGATTATATATTTATGATTTGCCTAACTTCTTCTAATTTCATCTAAATCATAATGAAGAGTCAACTATACATAGAGAATAAATAGGGGATGAACCCTTATAGTGGAGTTGTAGTTGAAATACAATATTAAAAAGGGAGTCCAAAATGGAAAATGACAGAAAAAATCGCGTAGGGTCGAAACAAGTTCAGCGCGTGTTGCGGCGCCCCGGCACCACGCCTAGTTTTTTTTGTGGCACTTGGGCACTGCATCCCAATGCCTAGGCGCCCCGTCTTCGTTCAAAAAACCTTCCAAATGTGATTTTCTTCAAGTCCAATACAAATTTCTACTTCCAATAAGCTTCCAAATAAAATTTCGATTAGAACTTGCCAAGTAAATGTGAATGTGATTCAACAATGGCATTTCAAATGACATTCTAATTATTGTGCACGATAATGTAATACTTAGAATAACCTTTTAACACATATACATAATAATCAACAACAAACTATTGTTTAGACCAATTCTTCAAAATTACTTCATACTTCATTGATTTGAATAATTATATTCAGAAACATGTGATGGAGGGATTACAATGGAATTTCATCTCCAATCGGTACTTAGAAAGTTTATAGTTCTGAAAGAAATACTTTTTTTGAATGTGATAAATAACATATTTTATTAAATATTCATAGATTCGCGAATTGTTAACTATTTTTTATCCTTTCTACTTTAATATAGAGTTGGCAAGAAAATGAAGTTGTTAAATGATCAATCTTGGGTAAAGTTTAAATGAAAAATATATATGCCTTACTTTTTAAGTATTTTGTTACATTTCATATAAAGTATTTGGTTTATAGTTAAAAAAAAAAAAAATTATTTTATTTTTATTAAGATACAATTCTGATTATACTCATTACTCTTCCAAGTGTAAACGTGTTTTGTGTATCTTAAACATCAGTATCTATTGTTGTTGATTTAGTTAGAAGTCTTAAAAGGATACATTATTGTCAAAAAAGTCGCAAGATAGAAAAAAAGTTCATAAGGAGCTTTATCACTATTATTAATGTTTTCATGTAAGAGAAAAGTTATTAATAGATGTATGCGTTACTCAAAATTTGAAATAAGAGATTTTTGTGTAATTTTTAGTCCTATCAAACAGGGGTAT